AGAACATTCTAGGTTTTGAGTTTTGATGGTGGAAGGTCTGTTGAAGAGTTGGGATTTCTGGGTTTTTCACGGAGAGGTTGATTTGGTGGAGAAAAAGAATGGTTTTGTTTTATGGTTTACGGTTTGTAGATGATGGCGGAAGAGGATGTTTATGATTCTGTTTGGAGGGTTGAGTTTTATGATGTTGGAAGTGGTTCGCAAAAATGGAGAAGGTGTTGGTGGTGATGGTAAGTTCAGATTCAAGAGGATGTTTATGATTCTGTTTGGAGTGTTGAGTTTTATGATGTTGGAAGTGGTTCGCAAAAATGGAGAAGGTGTTGGTGGTGATGGTAAGTTCAGATTCAAGTTGAAAAGTAGCTGGTGATGAACAGGACCAGGTAGGAGGCGAATTAGGGTATGAAGGCCGAGAGAATTAGGGTTCTTGGCTGGAAGATGATGAATAGTAATAGTGATTTTATACAACTGCTATGTGTCAGCATCAGCTTGTACCTTTTTTCTTTTTTAATTAATTTTCTATACTAATTTTGTATTAACAATCTAATAATAATAGATGTATTCTAATTCTAATTTAAATTAAATAAAATCTAAACTAATTCTAATTCTATAATAATTTTAAATTTAAAATTCTAAATTAATTCTATTCAATTAAAAATGCTAATTAATTTTAAACTAATTCCTAATAACAATTCTAAAATTACTAACTTAAATCTAAAATCCTAAAATATTTTAAAAATTACTAACTTAACTCTAAAATCCTAAAATATCTCTAAAATTACTAACCTAATTTTAAAACCCTAAAATATCTCTAAAAACTAATTCTAATTTCTAAACAAAAACTAAAATCTAATTAAAATTAAATAATTCTAAAACTATTTAAAAACTATTATCTAATTCTATTCTAAAACTAATGAAAATTCTAATTAGTATAAACTATTTAAATAAACTAATTAAACAAATTAAATCTAATCTAATAATAATAATCTTAATTAACTAAAATAAAATAAAAACAAATGAACATGACCAGGTAGGAGGCGGATTAAGGTATGGAGGCTGAGAGAATTAGGGTTCTTGGCTAGAAGACGATGAATAGTAATAGTGACTTTAAACAACTGCCATGTGTCAACATCAGCTTGTACCTTTTTTCTTTTTTAATTAATTTTCTATAATAATTTTGTATTAACAATCTAATAATAATAGATGTATTCTAATTCTAATTTAAATTAAATAAAATATAAACTAATTCTAATTCTATAATAATTCTAAATTTAAAATTCTAAATTAATTCTATTTCATTAAAAATGCTAATTAATTTTAAATTAATTCCTAATAACAATTCTAAAATTACTAACTTAAATCTAAAATCCTAAAATATTTTAAAAATTTCTAACTTAACTCAAATCCTAAAATATCTCTAAAATTACTAACCTAATTTTAAAATCCTAAAATATCTCTAAAAAGTAATTCTAATTTCTAAACAAAAACTAAAATCTAATTAAAATTAAATAATTCTAAAACTATTTAAAAACTATTTTCTAATTCTATTCTAAAACTACTGAAAATTCTAATTAGTATAAACTATTTTAATAAACTAATTAAACAAATTAAATCTAATCTAATAATAATAATCTTAATTAACTAAAATAAAATAGAATCAAATGAACATGACCAGGTAGGAGGCGGATTAGGGTATGGAGGCTGAGAGAATTATGGTTCTTGGCTGGAAGATGATGAATAGTAACGGTGACTTTATACAATTGCCATGTGTCAACATCAGCTTGTACCTTTTTTCTTTTTAAATTAATTTTCTATACTAATTTTGTATTAACAATCTAATAATAATAGATGTATTCTAATCCTAATTTAAATTAAATTAAATCTAAACTAATACTAATTCTATAATAATTCTAAATTTAAAATTCTAAATTAATTTTATTCCATTAAAAATGCTAATTAATTTTAAACTAATTTCTAATAACAATTCTAAAATTACTATCTTAAATCTAAAATCCTAAAATATTTTAAAAATTACTAACTTAACTCTAAAATCCTAAAATATCTCTAAAATTACTAACCTAATTTTAAAATCCTAAAATATCTCTAAAACCTAATTCTAATTTCTAAACAAAAACTAAAATCTAATTAAAATTAAATAATTCTAAAACTATTTAAAAACTATTTTCTAATTCTATTCTAAAACTAATGAAAATTCTAATTAGTATAAACTATTTTAATAAACTAATTAAACAAATTAAATCTAATCTAATAATAATAATCTTAATTAACTAAAATAAAATAGAAACAAATGAACATGACCAGGTAGGAGGCGGATTAGGGTATGGAGGCTGAGAGAATTAGGGTTCTTGGCTGGAAGATGATGAATAGTAATAGTGATTTTATACAACTGTCATGTGTCAGATGATGAATAGTAATAGTGATTTTATACAACTGTCATGTGTCAACATCAGCTTGTACCTTTTTTCTTTTTTAATTAATTTTCTATACTAATTTTGTATTAACAATCTAATAATAATAGATGTATTCTAATCCTAATTTAAATTAAATAAAATCTAAACTAATTCTAATTCTATAATAATTCTAAATTACTAACTTAAATCTAAAATATTTAAAAAAAAAAAAAAAAAAAAAAAAGATGGTGTATACCCGCCCCAGCGGATGGACTTGTGTGTTATGCCTTGGAGGTGGGATTTGAACCCCGGTCCTTTGGATATAGGATAGTAACTCAAACATGTACCTCCGCTGGGGTGGGTATACATCCATAAACAAAGTTGCAAAAATAAATATATGTTATATAAAAATTAGATTTAATTAAAAAAAAATTATTTAAACTAATTAATAAATAAACAATAATAAAACAAACAAATATTTTATGTTAAAACTATTTTTAATATAAGAAATAATAATCATAATAATAATAATCTAACTAAATAAATAATAAAAAAAAGAAAATAATAATAATCTAATTAGTAAATAAAATCTACACTAAATTAAAAATAATATAATCTTAATCTAATAATAAATAAATAAAAGACATAATTCTAAAAGACTAAAAAACCATTTACAAATAAATCCTAATATTAATAAAAACTTATTTAATATAAAACTCTAAACAACTTATTAAACTATTTAAAAACTATTAAAATAAAATATATTTTAAAGAAAAAATAAATAACTATTTTAATTCTAAAAAAAATAAAAAATAAAAAATAATAAAACAAACTATTTAAATTAAATAAATGTTAAAATAAAAATAATAAACAAATTGATATTTACAAGGGAAAAAGATAAATTAAAAAGGATTGAAATTTACAAAAATACCCTTAGGCCACATGCCTTGCTCTTATTGGACAAAAAAGTCGAGATTTGAGAAACACCCAATCGGAAGTGGACACGTGTCTAAACGACATTAAATTAAGTGGAAAATGTAACATAAAATGCGAAAATAATTACAAAAAAAATGGCGGGCAAATTTATGGTATGACAGATGATACATTCTTTTAAGAACTCATAAAGATGGATGTCCAAGCTGACAACGAAGCTTAAAATGCGACATTGTCATATTCTAATTTTACGCCTAAATTAATAAATCGATGCATCCATCATGACATTTGTTTCATTTGTATATTACAACATCTATTTCTTTCCACATAATGCTTAAAATGTCGACCAAAATAAACTTTCAATTTTACAGACTGATAAGTTGAATTAATTTTCAAATGTACATAAAATTAGTGGGCGAAAATTTTTGAGATCAGGCTTGCAATTGTCCGTTTTATTAATCTACAGTTCACGTAGTTTAACTTGGCGTTCTCGTTTTATTTTTTCGATTCATTTGCGGTCGCATTTTGATCAGGTTGAACCTTTTTAACTAGATATTTTTTATTGCAAGATTTGATCTTTTTCTGTCTGTTTTCCAAACTTCGCGTAAATCATTTTAATGCATTTAGAAAAGGATTTTTCGGACCACCTTCTTGTTTCTCTTCTTGCTTCGTTACAGTGCAAATCCTACATTCTACTACCTCCATAACTCACTCAACAGCAAACCACCTTACACCATAAACAACATATATTCCATTATAATCTTCTTCTCTCACATTCCCACAAACAACTACACCATAACTTCTTCATCTTCACTCAAACAACCATTACAAACTACATGGATCCACCGTACACATAACCTTATTTCAAATACTTCTCACCATAATGGTTTGGATGTTTTTAGGTGATTGACGAATATTCGAGCGATAGGTTATTTACAGTCATCACACAAATATTTGAGATTACGAGGGACAAGGAAAATTTAACCCAATCTTTTCCAATCGAACAAATTATGAAAACTGTGTGATGAATCAAGTCATTTTTATTTAATGGATGACAAGTATTCGTGTGGGAGGCTAATGAAGGCCATCACACAATACTCGAAATTACAATGAACAGGTACGTTCAACCCAATTTTTTTCGTCCATGAAAAATAAACTTGATCAAGGTCCTCACTTTCTCGTGAAGTTAGGTGATGCTCCCTTGGGCCATTGCAAACTTAGATTTCAATTTACCAACAACTTGAAGGATCCGCTCAATCAAAAGGTCTCTTAACATATGGTGTTTCGTCACGCTCAATAGCTCGAGAGGTGACTTGTCATGAAGGCCTTGTAATTAATGAAGAAATCCTAAAAAGGAAGAGACCCCTGATAAACTTGACGGTGTCAGACGAATGATCACTTCACAAAGAAGGATGAGGGCTAGAAATATCCTTCGTTCGCGAGAACCCGCTCCCAAGACAGGGGAAACAAACTGATATTCGAGTCACTCATCCAAGACAGTGAATAAGCAATAATTATTTTCAATATTTATATATTTTATTGGAGTTTGTATTCAAAGCTGAGAATAAGCAAATTCACTGACACATAACATTCAGTGTATCTGAAGTTATGAGAAGACAGAAGTTAAAGGATTACAAATGATAACATAAATGGTTGACCAGCTCAACTAGAAGAAGCAGCTTCTTTATAGTTCTCTGTCTCGCTAGTTTCGTCTTCATCTAAGGTTGGAGCTTTTGGAAGAAGACCAAGAACTTTAAACATGAGTTTATCAGTATCAAAATCATTGTTAGCAGTTGTGAGAAGCTTTTCACCAGCAAAGATAGAATTGGCACCAGCAAGAAAACACAATGCCTGCTCAGGCACAGAGAACCGAACTCTGCCGGCCGATAACCTCACCATTGCTTTTGGCATTGTTATACGCGCTGTCGCAATCATGCGAATCATCTCCCATATTTCAACAGGCTGGAAAAAGTGAACCGTAGTTAAGTTCTTCATAATAACTCAAAACATTATTAAACAATTCAAATTCATGCCTTTTATGTCAACTACAAGAAACATAAAAATTAAGCTCTTTAGTAATGTGCGCGCGCAACCATCTTCATTCTTACTTTAGTTTAACAAATAAACTCACCTTCTGATCCTGAAGAGGGGTTCCCTTGACAGCAACAAGTGCATTAATAGGAACGCTCTCTGGATGTGTAGGAAGTGTTGATAATGTATGTAGCAAACCTACTCGGTCTTCCTCAGCTTCTCCAAGCCCGATAATTCCTCCTGTAAACATTTCTCACCTCGTCAGTCTATTATTTGAAAACTTCAAAGAACAAAGAGTTTGTACTGAACATGATTGATAAATGGTAGTCTTGGACTAAAGAATAGAACGGACGAGCTTGACAGGTTCCATGGTATTTGATTGAAGCCAATAAGATTACTTACCAGAGCAAACATTAATCCCTGCATCACGAACATATTCAAGAGTTTGAAGGCGCTCATCATAACTCCTTGTTGTGATGATGTTTGGATAGTATTCCCTGGAAGTGTCGAGATTGTGATTATAGGCAGTAAGACCCGCCTTCTTGAGTTCACCAGCTTGATCTTTATCCAGCATGCCAAGGGTGCAGCACACCTCCATCCCCATTCCCCTAAGATGACAGAGATAACCCGATGTTATCATACATGAGTGTAAATTGACAGAGATAACCCAACCTTTTATTACGTTTATCAAACGAATTGCAATAAGAAAACCTAAGTTCCTAGATTCATAGGTTTCTTTCATAGTACTTGATAATTAAGACAAAAATAAAATCAAGTTGACTTACTTTATTTCTTTAACATATTCAAGTATCTGGTTGAAGTTTGTCTTTCTTCCTATTGTATCTCTCCATGCAGCGCCCATACAAAAGCGAGTACTTCCAGCCTCTTTTGCCTACACGAAAAAGATTACCCATGTCATTCAAGAAAAATCATAGCACCGCACAAGCAATAAGAAGCAAGGTTTGTGTTTGTACAGGCGTGCAGCGTGAAGGAGTGAACTTTAGAGGATAAAAAGCAATGGTAACAATTGATTGAAAAATCAAACAATTGAAATTGTGATAATATACATGCACATAATACATAACAAACTATGAAGGAAGTTGTTAAAGTTTCAATGCTTGATTTTCCCATAAATGTTCATAACTCCAAACTTCACAATCCTCTACTTTTGACAATTCAAATCCGAAAAACATGCGTTTTCCAAATGAAGATACATTTTTTTTATTTAAATACTAGTAATATACATGATTATAAACATATGAAGCACATACAGAGACACGGAGAACAAACATGTCACTGACACATCGACACTGTTAATATTTTGAAAAAAAAGAATAAGTTGAACATAATCACAAGTGTCCGTATCATGCTGCTGTCGAATTTGACGCAGACACTGACACGGACAAGCCATTTTTCACACGTGTCGATGCTACATAGGCATAAACTAAAAAGTGTGATCTGAGAGCCCGATCCTTGGTCATTTTCAAGAGAAAAAAATAGCAGCAAGCTATCGAAGTAGACAGACCCTAAATTGTGTATTAGCACAATAAACCATCAATTTAGTTCCTAAACTATTGTTCTCTATGTAATGTAGTCCTAAAGTATATAAATGTAACAAGTAGCATCTTAGCCATCATATACTAGGGAGTTACATGTCAAATATTACCTTGACTGCTGCTTGAAGAACAGCCTCCTTGTTCATAAGTCTCTGACCTTTGAGCCCGGTATCATATCTAGATGATTGAGGACAATAAGAACAATCCTCACTACACCCACCTGTTTTCACAGATAAAAGAGTACACTGTTGCACTTCCCTAAAGTTATGAGCGTGTCTGTGAACCTGAGCCTAATAAATCACAAGAAAACAAAATCTCAGTAAAATTGCGAATAATCCTCCAACAAAAATGCGTCTTTTCCTTGGTGGGTTTGTCTTATCCACTTAAAAATGAAAACTTTAGCTGAAAAACAAAAAGGGTTATTTCATTTTAATTTTGTAAAGAAGCCCATTAAAACAAAAAGAAGAAAAGCAGTGAAATTACCCCGTGGAAGAGAAGATCGAGAATGGGAGAGTCGTAGATGGATTTGACTTCGTCTTTAGTCCAGTCGTTTCTGGGTCCATGTTGAATGGTTTTCTCAGCTTGAATTGCAGCGGCAGAGGAAGTGCAATATCCATATCCATAGGAAGAATGGTGTAATACCCAAATTGAAGATCTTGGTTGTGAACGCAAAATTGGTCTCAACCAAAACATTGTGCGCTTGTTCTGAATTCAAAATTGTTGGTTAAGTGTGTTATAGTGGATCTGCAAATTACATAGATATTGACGAGGGCAATGGAAGTGAAGTGAAGATGGGTAGGTATTGTTGGGATTCTGTTGTGGTTTTAACTTTTTTAAAGTATTGATTTATCGTGGACAACTTATAAAAATGGTTTATAATAATATTTGTAGAATTATAGAATGTTTTTAATAAAAAGTATACTCTTACTAACAATATTACACTTTAGGGAGGAGGAGGGTAGCTACTACCTGCAACTCTCCAACAACTCTTTGAAATGCAATAGACCACCAGTTTACTTTATACGATGATCAAATCAAGCTTTGTTTTCTAGTCACAAATGAATATACTTTTTGGTATGAAAGATATTGTGACCTTTTTCTTTACACATATATTATCATGAATAAAGCTAATTTTATTCATTAAGCTTTAAGCTAGAGTAGTGTACACAATTATACACTTCAACAAACTTTGTAACTAACATCTAAATGAGGAAAGCTTGCAATCTAATCAACTAAACACCAAATTATAAAGGAAAAGTTAAACTAACAAGTTTGTTGTTTGACATAACTAACTTGCAATTACTTTCTTTTTATTGTGTTATCTCCCAGAACTTAGAGGATAGATATTTATCATTCTTAAGTCAATTATGTGATGTTTTAAGAATGTGTTTTTTTTACTCAAAGAATAATTTTTGAAATTTTTTCGTAGATGTATCTCGGTAACATTGTAAAATCGAAACAGAAGTAGAAAGTCAGAAAGTTGTATTTTAATAAAATAAATTTTTCATTCATAACATAAAATCAACATTACATAAGTGATGTTAACATAAAATCAAACATTACATTTTAATATCTAGGTGGACACTTCAAAATCTTAACAACATTTTCGATCGGTCTTGAAATTGTCGCTTCCAACTCGCTCGAAACTTTTGTTTTGAAACAGAAAATTGTATTCCACATAACTCTTACATCTGCATTCGTCTTGAGCTCATAGTTGTTAAACTCAATATTGCCTTTGTTGTTAATTGACGATGAACGATACTAAAACTTCACTATTTTTCGATTATCTCCGTAAGGTAGGAGATTATACACTTCGTATTTCAAATCTGCAAAAAAAAATGCACTCAATGATCTTAAACTTTCGTTTGGGTGTCACGCTGAAGAAGGAGACATTTGCGACATACCAGATGATGTTTATTTGTGACATTTGCAACATTTTTTGTTTGTAGGAAATAAAAAACAAGAGCCTAAATTTATAGAAGTTGTAGACAAATGTGGACCTCAAAAATTCTATCAAGTATCATGATTGGTTTCAGAGATACATTTTCAATATCACCCTAATATCTTATTTCAGAGATACATCTCTGAAACCTCTCATGAACTAGGCAGAAAACAAAATCTATTTGTTTATTGTTTGGCAAATGAACAATTTTTTTGGCAAATATAAAAATGTATTAAAATATTTGAAATTGTATATATTACACTTCATTAATCTTAATACACAATTACATACACTTAATTGATGACAAAAAACCACTAGTTTACTTTAGACGATGAACATCCTTTTTTTTTATGAAAGATATTGTGACCTTTTTTTTTTGCACATACATTATCACAAATAAAGCTAGTTTATTTCATTAAACTTTAAAAGAGAGTTACATATGATACTTATATATGGTATGTGTAGAATGTTAATAAGCTAGAGCAGTTATACATAACTATACACTCCAACAAAATTTATAACTAACATATGTTAAATGAAGAAAGCTTGCAATCTAAACATCTAAGTACCAACTATAAAGGGAAAGTTCAATTAACAAGTTAGTTATTTGACATGACTAACTTGCAAATACTTTATCTTCATTTTTCTTGAGTGTTATCCCCCACAAGTTGAAGGATAGATATTTATCATCCATAACTTAGATAGTAAGATATGAAACGATTGAGGTAAAAGTGGTTTAGCAAATAAATTTGCAATCTGGTCTTTAGAGGAAACAAGCAAAAGTTTAAAGATGTCGACTTGAATTTTTTCATGAACGAGATGACAATCAATTTCCAAGTGTTCAGTGCACTCATGGAACACATGATTTGCAATAATGTGAGATGCACTAAAATTCCCCCAAATTCGGGAGGTGCATCCCCGGACGCAACCCAAACTGTAACACCCTAACCCCAAAACTTATATAACAAGCATTATACGTTGATTAAAGTGTTACATGATGTTTGTTCTCAACTTCAAAATAACGTCATAAAAAAATTCTCAAAAACATTAATTTGAATTCAACGATCAAAACAAGTGTCTCAGCCCCAACGTTACATGATCAGAGCATAGCCATTAGATAAACAACGAAGCTAAATGGGAATAACTTCAAAAGTTATCTTCCACTCATAGTAGCAACTTTTAATTTTGATTATATTCAACATGTCCATGGTGGAAAACATCAAAGCAAAGAGGAGTGAGAATTCACTTCAATAAATAAATGGTATAAGCTGCAAGGTAGAATATAGACATTTACATATATCACAACATCCACACATCATTTTCACACCTAATCCATCAACATACTCGATAAAATCACATATTTATCATTTAAATTATGTAATGAGACTAACAACATCTAGACTCATATGCATGTGGTACCATATCTTCAATAGTTGGTTCACTCGGGAACCGGGTTCACCCTACTCATATATGGTCACCGTAATATAATTTGTTGTTGATTGTAATGTCATTGTTATTGAATTGTGTATATACCTTTTGTGGTTATACTTTTGGATTTTTCGTGTGATGTTTATGAAATTCGAGCGACCTTATTTGGTATTTTTTCCCAAATCATGTGTTTTCCCAAATTCTCGAAATTTTACGATCTATATTTTTCTCAATTTTTTCAAAAATCATACTATTTTCACGAAAATTATAAAATCATTTTTCACGAAAATCAAAAAATCGGATTTTATAGGGGAGGCCACGGTAGGCGACGACGACTAGAGTTCGGGATTCAAAGCCACACGGCGGTTGGGTGTGACGACAAGTCACGGCGCGATGGTTGAACACGGGTCGCGTTGGATGGCGGCAGCCGGAGTAAAAAATTGGGACCATGCAGCGCTAGGTCGCGTCGCGATGGCGGCAACTGAAAGGTGTCGTGTCGTGGGTCGAAGGCGACGACGGTGGGCCGTGCTGGGATGTCGGCGGCCGGAGAGTTCCTCATAGTTGGTCAGTGGCAGTGAGTGGTCGTAAGGTCGCGGCCAGTGGCGGCGATTTCAAGTATGGCGGTGGGTCTAGGCGTTTTCGAGAGTTTTAGAGTTTTGGGAGTTTTTCGGTGATTTTTGAGCAATTTTTTACGTCAGTGACCTTTTGGCAACTTTAGGGTCACTTTTGTGTAAATTGAGTTAAACAGCTAACCCTTAGAGTTTGTAGAGTTATCACTTGTGAAAAGTTGCCCTTAGAGCACTTTTGAACATTTTAGGGTACTTTTGCATACTCTAGAGTCATTTTGAGTGTTGAGAGATCTTGTTTTGTTGTTTAGCTTTTTGATAACTCTATTGAGTTCTAAATAATATAATAAAATTTGAAACTTTCTGAGTAATTTTGATGATTTCAGAGTTGTTGAGTAATAACATAACTTTACTCCTTTTGAGGTGAATAATAATAATAATTTTTTAAAATTATATTTTTGAAATTAGTAATCCAGTGGGATTACAATAAAGCTTGTTTATTGGCAAAATTACATTTTTGAAATTAGTAGTCCAGTGGGATTACAATGAGACTTGTGATTGACAACCTTATAGTTTAAGAGTGGAACCATATATTGATGAGGATTTTTTATGATGATTTTTTAGGTGATTTTTCATGACGATTTGTGATGATTTTTTTAGTTATGTGCTTGCTTTTATACATGATCATGCATGCATATATTTTGGAATTAGGTAAGACTCCGGTCCAGTGATGGCCAAGTTCATAGAGAAACCATGGCGTTCTCATGTTTAGAGAGGGACATTGTTCGAGAGGAACCAAAGACATGGTGTAACACCCCAAATTTAATTGGAGTATTTTAATTAATTATTTAATTAAGAATATTCGTTTTCGGTGATTTTCGGGTGGTTGGTGAATTATTAAAAAAATGTGCATTTTTGGGTATTTATTTAATTAATAGCATATAATATTAATTTATTAGTATTATTATTAATTAAATTGAAATAAGGGAAATAAGGGCAATTTGGGCGATTGGAGGAGTTAGTGAGGATATTATGGGAAAAGCCCAAATTGTGAGATTTAACAAAATAGAATTATAAAGGGAATTGGGATTCATTTGTTAACCGTGAAAAGAATGGAGGCCAGAGCTCTGAGGAGGGAGAATTGGAGGCAAAAGCTTCGGAAGATTCCTGGAGTAATCTTGAAGGCTGTGAATCGACTAAGGTATGAGGAGTATTGCTTTTCATAGTTTTCTATGTATGACTTTCGGTATATTTGTGGTTGATGTAAGGTTTAGGGATTTGGAATTAATTGTGGGAAATATGGAAGTAATCGTAAGATTCTGAGAGGATGGCCAAATGGTATGTATCGTTGAATATTAACATAAAATTTGTGGAAAACCTTAGGCCTTTATGGCAAAACCCGTAGGATTAGTGGTCAATATTTCTGACTATCTGATATGTAATTGTGGGAAACCTTATGGGAAACCTTAGGCCTTCGTGGCCAAAAGCTTGACATTGTTATATGTCTGACCCTGAAGGGATTAAATATTGGATAATAAGTAATTTTAATGCCGTATGGTGTAATTGAAGGAAAAATTGTGACATGTTGTCCCTATAGGAATAAGAATATTCAAATGTGAGTAACTCTGAAGTACTCAGAGTAATTGCAGGAAATAATGTTCTAGGCGTTGCAAATGTTGACAGATGAGCCTAATAAACCATAGAAGTTGTGTTGTTATTACCGTATAATCTTAGGAATGTTTTAGTGATGTTTTGGG